ACCAACACGAAATAAAAGTGCAATGAAAACCAACTTCCATTAAGTTTGAGAACATAATAAGAATAATACAAAATCAAATGTTTACGATTCTCAAAATATAAAGTAAGGGCGCCAACAACTTTGGCAAACACTACTACTCTAATGCTAACACTTAGAGTGTACTCCCCTTAATTGAGGTGCTTGGTTACCTACAACCTTTACAAAAAAATGTAAATGTTCACGAAAATATAATTCGAATAAAATACACAGTAAGTGTACGGTTCGTTAACAAGTAATAAAGTGGACTTTTTGAGTTTGAGTGTCGTCCCACAAGGATTGATTAATTTTAATTCTAATTAGAGTGACTTTAACCAAAACAATAAGAATGATAGTATTTGCTTTGATGAATTTATAACTAAATTAATGATGCGGATGCGATTATGAATGCTTTAACTAAACTGAATGAAATTTATGTCAAATGCAAGTTGAAGTTTTTATAATATATGGTGAATGTACTATGATCACGATCCCTATGTAATAATCTTTTTAAATCCAGTTCTACACTTTGACACATAATTGAAATATTGAAAAATCAATACTCCTAAATTATTTAACAGTCTCTCTCAATTAAAGTCAAACATATTTTAATATGTGACCAGGAATGCATGAGTTTTTGTGAGCACTTAAAGATTCACATAGGGTATAGCGGTATATTTCTATCACCTATCGGACTTTATGATGATTTATACCGCGTCGAACTTATTCCCCTTCTTTTGAATGCATGAAAGAAGCCACCACACTCACACAATTACGTATATCCTATGTAATAATTTTCTTTAAACCTAGTTCTATACCTTGACACATGATTGAAATATTGAAGAATGCTCCTAAATTATTTAACGGTCTCTCTCGAATAAAGTTAAACCTATTCCAACATGTGACCCGACTATATTTCTATGATGGATGTAAACATACAAGAATGTACGAGTTTTTGTGAGCACTTAAAAATTTACATAGGGCATAGCTATATATTTCTATCCCTCATCGGATCCTATGATGATTTATACCGCGTCGAACCTATTCCTCTTCTTTCGAATGCATGAAATACGTCAACAAACTCACACAATTACATATACAATAATTATGGAGAAAAGAAATTCATATAAACCATTCAAACACCTCAAAACATGTTTTTGATGTCAAAGATGTAAAACTAAAATTTACAAATCATATTATATAGTTCATCTAACCCTAGTACATAATTAATCTAGCCAAGCATGGTGGAACTAAGAAAATTAGAAAAATAAATGAAGAATGACATCACCAATTCAATTCTTGAGTTTAATCTTCACTTCGTAGTGTTGCTCTTCTCGTTCAATTCCTCATCCGAGTCATCTTTTGATTATTTGTATTTTGGTCCTTGAACTTTGGTTTTCTTTCGTTTTAGTCCCTTTTCACTTTATTTCTCATAATTTCCGCCACATTCATCATGTTGTACTGCAAAACACAAATTTCATAGAATTAAGCTGTATTTCAACATACTTATCAATAATTGTCCATGCTTGTGGCCCAAAATAAGTGTGTAAAACACACTTATCAGTAAACATGGTTAGTGTTTCCAAAATCTACCATCCATGTATTAGTAGAATCAATTACTAAGCATAACTCAATGAATAGAGTGTCTTTACCTTGCTTTCCCTTAGCTAGCTGATCTAGGCAATTCCCCTTTCAATGACCCTTTTGTCCATAAACAAAGCATTTTCCCTTTGGGTCATTAATTTTGTCATAGACATGTTCATTTTGTATAGATTATAATCAACTTTGAATTGTGAGAACATCTCAGGGAGAGTTTCAAGAACCATGTCAATCTGATTTTGGAATTAAAATTAGCTCTTAAAATGTCTGCCATATTGAATTGACTAATCATGGTTAACATATGGTCCTTCATACATGTGTCTGATTTCATTGTGAATATTCATAATTGCTTTAATGAAGGCTTACCTAACTTGTCGGTTTTGGTGTCCAAATATCTCATGAACACTTTCATCATATCAAAAGCAGTTGCCATATTATGATTTTTTCGTTGCAACACATTTTACATGGATGAGAAGATGTAGCAACAGCTATCTCATCAGAATGACACTTTTCATATGAAGCTTTATGAGGTTCCATGGAGCTATCTTTAGGGGTTTCCAGACAAAGTTTTGTTAGCACGAATTTGTGTTTTTCGGTGGTAAGAACAATGTTAAGATTCCTTTCCTAGTCAATGTATTTTTCTCTCATAAGTTGTTTTAGTTAAGTATTACTGTGATATTTTCAATAAAATAATAATTTTCATATTAATAACATGAATAATAATATTCGTATGATGCATGTATATATGTAAGTATGTATGCAAAATATAGACCCAAAAAACTATATTTTTAATAAAAGATTTAAAATCCTTGTAACTTTTAACACGTCCTCTAAAAACTGAGCTAGACATCTCATGCCACAATTAAAATGAGGATTTGTTATTATTTGGTCTACGAATAATTTTGTTGGAATCTTCTATAAAAAGTCGTTTAAAATGTTTATACTTAAGTGTATTAACCTTCGTTCATAACTTTAAAATATCCAAACTAGATGAAATGGTATCTATGATAATCACCCATTATTCCATTTTAAAATATTCTACTTATAGATCAAATTCTAGTTAATCTAAAATAACGTAGTCTTCCTTTAGTAAGATCCGATGTAGTTCGATACCAGACAAGTAAGTATTTTGTTTACAAATAGGATAACGGAAGAGGTCATGGATTTATACATGCCTATAAACACTCTTCCACTTATTATTTTAAACTGTTGGATATTCCTTTAATAATTAATCAACCAATTATAAACAATTATAATGCCACCAAATTAGTAAAGATAATTTTATCAACCACTTCTAATTAATATAGAGTGATGAAAAAATTACACATTACTAATGCATATGATTTTAGTGCACCGTATGATAGTTTATTTAATCAACATGATATGCCATAATATTCATTTATTCATCGTCCATAACAAAATAAAAGCAATAAAAAAAATCATAACCATTTTTGGCTCATCCTAGGAAATTAAAATTACAACAAGAATTAAAGTTATCCATTGGGCTACATTCCGACTCAATTCTTCAATCTTCTTGCAGAGCAATCTATGATGTATCCAAAACCGAATATATAACTATCTACTTTAACAACAAAAACTAATTGAAAAGGATCTCTATAACCTTTGCCTCTAATATCATTTGTTATCTTTGGATTAAATTACAAGAGAAAGTTTATTTCCCTTTGAAGATTAAATATAAATAGATTTAGATTTTAGATCTCCTTCGTGGTTATTGGATTTTATTTTTAAATCTTTACAAATTAGGTGAGATTATAATCTTAGAAGAGCTTTTAATGGCTTTCCACCACCAGGTCAAGGCCTCCTCGTTAGACCTTCATATTCTCTCTTTAGGGGCCTCCTTTTTTGGGAATTGTATGAATGTGGCTAACCTTAAATCTTGAGATATGTGACATATTTATAATACTCAATTAAGGTTTCATAATTACACAATTTTCCTTTCAAACTTTATTGTTGTAGATCAATAAAGTACAGCACCTATATTAGAGCCAAAAGAAGGACAACTCGAGCTCCAATAGATGTTTCTATTTTGGTCAACTCTTGACCAGTTAAGTTACATCTATTAATCTCGACTCATTTTACCAAAAAGTCGAAATTGTACTTTCGAGTTGAGTGAAACTTATGGAAGAAAGTCACCATCCAATAAAAATATCATCATATCATCATTCCACAAGTCAACCCCATTTGATTGTCAATATATTGGAACAAAAAAAAAATGACCGTTTTACTCTTTTGACATGTATAGCCCTCTGAGTTCCATTTTCATAAGGCAAATTCATTGTTAACAAATCACAATATAGAGTCCATTGATCTCATCATCGGACTACTAGGTTCAAGCTAATGTTCATAGAGAATGCCTCGGAGTGACGATCGCCTCATCGTAATGATTAATGAATTCTTCTATCGCAAGTATATGATCTCTAACTGTTTGCCCTGATTCCCAAAGTACCGAGATCGATCTTCCAACTAAGACTTCACACATTGACACTTTAAAGAATTTGAATTAGCAATCAAAGGTACATATAATTTAGGTAACTTGTTCGATGATTAAGTAGAATCTCATTCCGTTCATTTTTTTTATTTCCAAGATCTAGACAAATTCAATAAAAACAATGCAATCTTATCAACATAAAGCATTCAACTTTATATACCGATCGCAAATGATATATTTTGATTATGTCGCAAATTGCGTCTCACAGTACTTGAACTATTAAGTTTACAACTTGTGACATCTTGTATGATCATGGAAGTTTAAATTATTATTTCAAATTAAATACATGCAAATAACTTAATCATAATTCATAAAATCCTTAACATGCCCCCGCAAGATGGTGGCTCGTTTGAGCAGATTAATCTTGAAATTCGTGTGCTCAATTTTTTGAGTCTTAATCGGATCGAATTACTCGTTGGAGTTTAATGGGCTCTGATACCATGTTAAAATTTGGGGTTCCATTTTAAAATATCAATCTTATTAAAATGAGTTGTCCAAACTCTTATAAATTGGTCTATATTTTCAATTTTATTCGATGTGAGATTCTATCCCTTAACACCAAGAGTTGTAAAATTGAAGAACCGATAATGCCAAATCAATTGAAATCAAAGGAGGGGATTAACTAAATAGCCGTTAATTGAGGTGTAAAATTGACTTGACGTATCCATATTTTATTGGTCTAAAAGAAAATATCCATATTAAAGAAATGAAATATGAAAAAAAATCTATTTCTTGCTTTCCCAATAATAATAATAATAATAACATTAGAGATACCAGAGCACAATATAAAGTGGGTTTATATAGGCCACTAAAAGTGAAACCTTTATCCCTTCAGAAACAAGAAAAACACACAAGAGCCTAAGCAATTGAATTGGTCATGAATTCTTCTTCTAAATCTTCCACCTTTTCTTCTTCTTCTTCTTCTTCTAAAAATGCTTTCGATATTGGAAATCATTTAATTAAAATGATTAAAATTGACCCTAAATTAAGCAATAACAGTGGTTCAGTCTGTTTTCCTCCAAAGCCACTTTTAATTGGGACACCAACAGAATCAGGAATTTTTCCAGTACTTATACTCCTTCATGGTTATCTTCTTTATAACTCTTTTTATTCTCAGCTAATTCAACATATTTCTTCACATGGGTTCATTGTTGTTGCACCCCAGGTTAGGTTCTTCAACTTATAGGTTTATTTTCAAGACGATTTTGTCAAATGATTTGATTAATCAGCTTTTTACTGTTTAAGTAAGATGGGATTATGAATTGTTTGATTATATGCTTAATTTGTTTTGGTGTTTGTGGTTATTAAAATATGATCTCTATGCTTTCTTGTTCTATTCTCCATTACAAGTTGTGGTGCTGAATTTTGAAGTCAATGTTATGGTACTTTTGGACAAAATACCATAAATAAAGATTCTAAGATGAAGGTATTTAGATGCTTAGATAAGAAACTATAATATATTGGTAGAAGTGGAAAACACTTAGATTGTCGGGATGCGTTATGCATAGATGAGGCACGTTTATAAGAATGAAGAGATCTCAGCAAAAAGTTAGAAGATTTGTTTTGGAATTTCTAGTATATATATAGCAATAAACCAGATGGAATGGTGAGAAGGTATTCATGTAGACGACCTAAAATTTATCGGAATAAGATTAGTTACAAACCGAACCTGACTAAAATTATTTTACTGAGTCATTAGAAACATTGAAATCTGATAAAAGAAACTACTGAAGAAGATTAGGGTACTGATTTTTCTGTCCCAGTTGAAATTTAACCTATTTATGAAGGTAGAATATGATTCTTTAAATATTTATGTTACATAGGAATAACGATACAAAATTATGGCCTAAAAACATGACAAATTCGTTTCATTTTGTTGTGCTATACCAGTTATACAGTGTGACAGGACCGGATGCAAACGAAGAAATCAAGATCACTGCTGATATAACGAATTGGTTATCAGAAGGACTGTGCCATTTTCTTCCAACTCATGTTCGACCAGACTTGACAAAGCTGGGACTTGCTGGACACAGTCGAGGAGGAAAAGTCGCTTTCGCTCTAGCTCTAAGAAAGCAAGTGACTTCTTTGAAATTTTCAGCCTTGATAGGCATTGATCCTGTTGATGGAATGGACAAGGGAAAACAAACACCTCCTCCAGTTCTAAATTACGTCCCCCGTTCCTTCGATCTTGATATGGCAGTAATGGTTATAGGTTCGGGATTGGGAGAAATGAAAAAAAATCTTCTTTTCCCTCCTTGTGCTCCTATAGGAGTGAATCATCAAGACTTCTTTAATGAATGTCAAAAATTGGCTTTCTATTTTGTTGTGAAGGATTATGGACATCTTGATATGCTGGACGATGAGACGAAAGGGATTCGAGGGAAGTCAACACATTGTTTGTGCAAGAATGGGGATTCAAGAGAGCCGATGAGGAGATTTGTTGGGGGAATTGTGATTGCTTTCTTGAAAGCTTATTTGGAAGACAATTCAAGGGAGTTGATGGCTATTAGAGATGGAAATGAGAAACTTCCTGTTGAGCTCCAAAAATCTGAATTTCTAATTTAGATAGCATAAATTTACGCGTCAGTTTCTTGTATAAATCATAATTACTTCATATGATTTAGCTGTAGCTTTGAAGGTGAATCAAATTAGAATCATGCTACATGTAAAACATTGGTTGACAACATCCTATTTGGCATCATCATATACATTCATTTTGAAAAATTGTTTTCTACATCATATACTAGGATTTTGACAGCACATGGTTGTCAACCATTGCTGTGTTGTACATTTAGATTTATTCATCAAATTATTAGATTGACGCGTACAATTCCTGAATCCTATGGATCATCAAAAGGCTCAAATTGAAAGAGTTTGAATTAGCAGCTTAACTGCATTAGTGGAGCTTAATATTATAGTGAATACAAGAGACCTAGATAAACTAGAACAATTACAAATAAAATAGAAGAATAAGAGAATCTACACAAACAAGAACTAATAAACCAACTATAATAGTATGATATAATCTAATCTACAATACAAGATATGGTAGAGTTGTTTCATTTTGAAATAGAAGATACATTAGAGTTGTACTATATGTAGATTTTATGTGTTAAAATGCCCAACAAGATGGTGGGCCTATCGAAAACACCAATCCTGGACTGAAGTAAGAGGAATCAAACCGTGCTCAAGGGCTTTGTGAGGGCATAAGCAAGGTGCTTGGGAGGCAACATGATGCAGGAGCAACCGAGTCACACGAAGTCGAGTTGTCTGATAGCTTGTTGATGGTGCCGAGGTGCCATGAGTTGGCGAATCAGAGTAAAAATGGCAAGTAATCGACACTCTTTCCTAATTATGCCATTTCGAATCTCCAATTTTAGTTATTTTTTTTTTCCTTTTTTGCTAATGTTTCGTTTGCCTTTTAAACATAGATTATGAACTCGAATTAAGCCAGATTTTTGGGATATTGTTTTTTTTATTACGTACTTTCTTTTTGTATGAATATTGCTATTTTTGGTAAAATTTCGATAATTATGATTTTTAACCTATATAACCCGGCTTGTGGGTTATTTTCGCACATTTGTTGAATAATAAAAAATTTTCTTGTTTTCTTAGCGATTTCTCTTGGGTTCTTCTCTGTTAATTATCTGCTGAATTTCAGCCTGTAGAATAATTGCTATTCCGCTCGGCATCACAACATGAGATACTTAAAGGTCACCTTGCCACATTTCATCATGAAGAAAGCGCACATCAATCTCGATGTGCTTCATGTGAGGGGGAAAGACCAAATTAGAACAAGGATAGGTCTTGCTGAAATTTTCATGGTAGATAACTGGCGTCCAGGTCAAGGGTTCATTGACTCCAATATTAAGGATTTAATCAACAACCATCACATGTGACGACAACATGATATCCAGTTTCTATAGAAGAATTATCAAGCCTCTGTTTGTTTGCCATTTTCAAATTAAAAATGCATTTTTAGGTCAAATCATTCACAACCCGCTACAGTAAATTTGTCATGATGACAATGCTCATTTTTTCAGCAATTTTGATTTACCCTTCAATGGGTGCTTCTTTATTTTTAATAAAAATAACTGATTTTAATACAATTCTTTATTTATTTCATTGCATTATTGTAAAACTTTATGTAATCTCCACGTGATATAGTCCTTTTGTTTCGTTAGGGTATCGTGCATATTTTTGACAAACCAATTTAGGAAAAATCTATTTATTCCATTATTCACCGATTGTACGTGTACATTACAGTAATTATTAAAGTCAGCAGAGACAATAATTAATGTTCCTACATTCGTTGACTGCAAGACATTTTCTTGGACGCCACGTTTCGCACAAATCGCGATGATCAAAGTTGCTGTGCCATATAATCGCGAAGTCGGTACCAATCACTTAGGTTAATATCCGGTGCGTTCATTTCTACGTGGATTTCGTCTTCCGCGTCAGGTAGGTCAACATCAAATGCGTCATCATCTATTTCAGCTCTATCAAATACCTCGTTCAGAACTCCAGACCGACGTAAAAATTTATAAATGCCCATCGTTGCGACAACAACAGCAACTTGAGTTCGAAATGAATATCTAGGCATATGATCAAGTATTTGCCATCTTTTTTTTCCACACACCAAACGCTCGTTCTATGACGTTTCTGCAGGACGAGTGTCCAAACTGACGACGACGATTGGATCCATCATCGCGAAACTCCTAAAAATGATACAATATATCTGATCCTTTGTAAGGGCCATGTACTCCCGTCGATGAGCAAACCCGGAGTCAACCAAATAGTACTTACCCGACCCAGGTAATCGAAAATTAATTTCAGGACTGTGTATAGCATGAGCTAGAATTCTCGCGTCGTGGATATTCCGGTGGTCCTAGCTAGCACGAATGTGAAACACAAATTGAAATCATATGTAGCCAACACATTTCGCGTTGGAACTCCTTTGCGACCTATAAAATTCACCCTCTCGCTACGCGGTAGCACAACTTTCACATGAATTCCATCAATAGCTCAAATGCAATCTGGAAACAAAGGATAGTTCGTGGGGTCCAGCCTGTGGGGCTCCTCACCCTTGTTGTAGTCCGATCTTCGTTGTATGAGACATGCCGATAACGCGATGACAGCAGTGAGTACCTCCTTAAAATAATGACATATATTTGCAATGAATGTTTGAAGATAGTATTCACCTGGTGGTATCATTTACCATGCGCTAATATGAACAAAAACATTCCAACTTGTTCGTATATATCGACATATTGGCTACTGCGTAAGCCAAATTCGTTACGTAGAATATGTATAAAGTGTCGAAGTTGTTGTGGATACATTCGGAACTCTTGATAACACATCTTGGGGTTATCTTCCATTGCTTCCTTCATGAATAAGTGTCCATTTCTTGAAGACGGGAATCTGTGAATACGACGACATTGTTTGAGATAGTAGTTCCTGGCATCGCTTATTACAATATGACAATATGTAACCCATGTCATGATGTCTTCCACAAGTTGGCCAAAAACTCATCATCATCGACTTCATCTTCGTCATCGGATCCCCGATAAAAGGGCACAATTGAAGTTGAGATCATCCATCGCAGATAAATGAAGTTCAATCAAATTTGCAATATTTCAAAGATTTCTACGCACAAAATAGAAAAATTCACCATTCATGTGGCCAACCCATAAATTTATATAAGAGTGAAGAACAATGGCATGTAACACAATTTGTGTGAAATGCAAATAATTGTACCACCCGGTTTGAAAAATAGGACGGTTGTACCTTGTTCACATCTGAAACGTTTTTGTTGTTAGTGAAATGTGGTTCCCAATGATCTATAGTACATTTCAGATGTCACTCATGCCTGCACTATTTTTTACATAACAGAATGACATCACAAAAACATACATTTCAAACTATCCTTCAATATAGTAGACCCATGCTTGAGAAAATCAAATGTCAGATCCATACGATAAAAGCACAATATCAAATGTAAATATCAGCAAAAAGTATAGGAAAAAAAGTTCAAATAAAACAAGTGTTGTAGAGTTCATTTACGCATAATTTAAGTGAGAGATTTATTACGCTCGTTATACTGCCACTCAATCCACTCGAACTTCTCATCGATGTCTTGCATGAAAGAAAGCATGTCTCGATATTTCTTCCGTGTCGGAGTGTACATGCAAAGAAATACAAAGGTCTACGTTGCTCGAGCCTTCCGCTTGCAAGCAATTCTTCAACACAGATAACCCCTGCATTTTTAGATGGTGTTAATTTTTGCCGCTACTTCCTCGACTGTTTGGCTCCCCGATCAACTGAGTAAGACAGATGCCGAGCAGAAACCTTTGTTGCCTGCTTGACGCCAACTTCCACTTTTCACCGCTTCTAGCATTTGACGTGTGCATGCTTGCAATGTTCTTTTGTTCGTCGCCCTCATCACTGAAACCAATACTTTCCTCCTCAACAGGGATTGCATCCCTCTAGTCTTCGAGAGTAGTGTCCTCAAAAAAATTGAAGCACGTGCGACATAACTTCATCGGAGTAACTGCGTACTTGTCACCATCGTAGCTACCTCCGAAAAGCTGACGATAGCGGACATATATTTCGCTCACGTCTTTGTCCTTAAGGTCCTTATACTCCTTATTCTCTTGCAATTGTGTTAGCATAATTGATAAAGGTAATGTCACGTGGATGTCGTAATGTAATTCGACACTGCAAAATCCATAAGTGTTGCCGATTTTATTCAAAAAATGTTACACGATTTCCATGCAAGTTGACTCATGAGTATAAGAGATAAGGATACCAATACAAAAAAGTGATCACAAAGCTAGGTGGGAGTAATCAAAATCACATCATCGTAACAGGGCAACGAATGAGAACTAAGCATACCTAATGTAATAAACAGCATACAACCGTAAGCATTCATCACAAAATACACGTGTAAGTGAATGTGTAACAGTTATTAAAAAATGTAACCTTCAATTTTCGGGTCCACCATTCGATGGATGCTACGATCCGACCCTCCGACAGGTTGTATTCAACACTGGTACACGGCAACAATTTCGTTAGCCGTTTGTGTTCCCGCCACATTGCATCCAAGTGGTTTCGCAATTGGAGTTTACTCCAATTGTCGCCTGTTGTTTAGTTGAACATGGTCATAACTCGTTCCCACTCGATTTTCGTGAAACACTTACCTTGTCGATGGCCTTTGGCAATGGCCATTTCACATGCTGCTATAAACGTTCACCTTTCAGTATTCCTCTATCTAGCATATTTCTTGGACAACTCAACAGCCATTAATGAACCCAGACCGCAAATTTCACCGGTTTGCAGGTCGTACAAATCGGTTAGGAAGGGCTAATTCAAGGATTAAATGAAACATAGCAATTGCGATAGTAGACAAGGTATGGAAAATCCACCTGAGAATTGAATGGTTCCATGCCTGCGGTGTAGTCTCTTGAACTGGCGCGGGTGGCTCTACTGCACCCGGAGTGAATGGTTGGTCTATTGCACCTGAGAATTGAATGGTGGCTCTACTGCACCGGGAGGTTAATTCCGGT